AGTCCATGAAAAGGGCTGGCAAGGAAAATCAGAAAATCATAAAGCAGGTCAGTATATTTTTCTCCTTATATAATTCATCCTTAATTTGGCAATGTTTAATAAATCATGGCAATACATTTCTTTGCATAGACTCAATAAGACTGGTTCCTAATAGTGGTTTTATTAACGGAAAACTTTGACTGGAGTATCATGTTTTAAAGAGACCTGTCTGCACTCTGAAGACTTGAAGCCAATAAGAGTGCCACGGGAAAAGCCTGGTATCCTGCTTGGGAGCCCTGAAGATGGCTGGAGCTGGAGCATCAGGCCCATGCCCTGCCATCACTGGCAGTTGGTCAGAGTAGAAGGGGAGCAATAAGGACGCCTCTGCATCCCTGCAGAACTCCCATGCACTCTGGGCCGCAATGAGTAGGATGGCTACTGAGATGGGCCTTAAAACCTAGGGCGTAGGCCCAGGTAGAGTTGCTACAGGTGAGGGATTCACCTAACTCAGCAGATACTGCAGGCAGGCCTGATGGCAGCTGGATGGCTTGGCTTCCTGGCCCTACAGAGCACATTAAGATTCAATCATGAAATTCTGGCAAAGGTAGTCAGTTACTATTCTTGTTGTGTTTATGCAAATGATCAGGTCAAATTGAATAAAATAGATAAATTGGTCTTAATTTGGCTTTTTGATAAATATAGAGGTAATTTGAGGAGAAAAATCCTATTTCAATAGGTTATTAAAACTGAAATGGTTTCTTTCCCTTCCACTGGACCATTTGTTACAGTCTGTCTCTGTCAGGTCAAAAGCCCACCTCCTTCTGTGCCCAGGCCTCATCATCCCTCTGACAGACAACAAGGATCTCTTGGCTCTGAGAGAAAACTTCGTCCCTCCTCAGTATGAAGCAGCTACAGAAGAAATTCAAAATCCATTTTCTCTAAAAGAATTCAGAGCCAGGATCCTTGAGGTAATATATTAAGCAGTTAGACAGACATGAGCAGAGCAAGGACGATGGGCCAACTAGTGCTACCAGATGTAACTAAGTATTTCCACCTCTAGGTATGTGAGACAGGGGGCATAGCCAAAGAGGTACTCACCTAAAGTCTCAGCCCCTAGAAGAGGTTGGTAGACTATTTGTCCAAAAGACTTGACCCCTTTGCATTTGAGTATTTGGGTGACCTACTTGCCTCTGGGCGGCAGCAGCCCACCAGCCCAGCCTGAGTAGAAGGTGACCTCTGACCAGACACACCCGCTGCGGATCACCCTCAAGAAGACAACGGACCTGGTCAATCAACCTGATCTAAAGAGTTCAGATAACACCCTGCTGAGTTCTTCCTTACACTAACCACTCCGGGGTAATTAGAGAAAGTTTAAGTCAGTTAAGGAAACGGCTGATAAACCGAGAAGAGGCCTGTAGGGCAGAGGGGAACTGGTATGAGAATCTGTTCTCCTGGTCCCCCTGGCTCACAACCCTCCTATCCACTGTGGCAAGGCCCCTCCTCTCTGTCAAACTCATTGTCCTGCACACCCAGTACTCTCAGCTAGTAGATACTAGTGATGAATCCAGGGTCTGAATTCATCTCCTAAGACCAGTAGGGAGTGTGATGAATTGAATGTCAGTAGAAAATTTTCAAATCTGTTCCCCAGCTGTGCCCCAGTTAGAGTTCTCTGTAAACTGACAAGAGATCAAGGATGTGGTCAAGGATGGGTAACCAGACATAACACCAAGTTTCCTACTTCCTGACTTCTGTGCGTCAAGGCCCTGATTAGACCTTTGTAACTGTACCCAAGGACGTTTGTGGTTTCTGTGAATAAAAGCTTGCCTAGCACCAAGGTTGGGGCTGCTGCAGGAGGAGAGCTCCCTGCGTGGAGACGCCTGTGGCAGTTGCTGGCCAGCTCAATAAACCCTCGCTTGCTGCTTAAGACCTAATTGGAGTCGGTGGTCTTACTCTCGCGAATGTTGGTCCATAACAGAATTGCCTGAACCTGGGAATAACTGAAAGAGCTCACTGGGGTGGGGTGGTGGATGGGGTGGGTGGGATGGGTGGGGGGTGGAGTGGTGAGATGGGGAGAGAAGAAATAGCTCATGACTGTCAATTAACTGATGAAATTCCATAACCCGTGAGGAAAGATACATGGCTGGCATGCCCAAGGAGGTAAGGTCTTACAGAGGAGAGAGAGAGGGTGAAGATTTGAAGACCCCACCAACCTTGAGACTGTTTCTGCCTGGGCCACAAGCAGAAGGGCTGTGCAGCAGGGAGATGCCCAGACAACGGAATGAGAGAGCAGAAGGTGAGGAGGAATCAGAGGACTGGCGGTGGTGCAGGCATGGATTTCTGGGTGAGCCTGCTGTTGTGCTAACATGACAGCTCCAGGGAGGGCTGCGTGGTGGCCTTGCAAACTCAGAGGCCTAAAGTAACCATGAAGGATGGTCTGAAATTAAAACTTTACCTAAAAGCAGTTATGGTGGGTAGTAACGTCCTAGGCTGGTATCTACCCTGACAAAGGTCAATCTTCACCTTAACTGAGCCTACTGTCTTTTTGCATCTATGATAACATATTGTTGGAATGTCAAATTAATTTTCCTTTCTCTAGACCTCCTCAAAGCATAAACACCACTCTGCGAAGGCCACAAATACCCTCATTATTATTAATTGCTGACTGCTAACTATTCTGCACCCACCTGTGTAAAAGAAGCAGGTGTCTATCATTTACTTTTTATCTAATCCCAGAGGTTTCTCCAGTTTGCTTTCTCCCACCTCCCTAATCTATCACCAATGGCTTTCACGTAACCCCCTTACATCTTCTCTTTTGATTGTAATGTATAAAATAAGGTAAAAAATTGCCATTCTCCAGAGCATTATCCTCATATATTGAGGTTCTGCTTCCCGGCAATTGACAGTTTGCCTCAAATAAACTCGCAAACATTCTTCAGAGGTTTAAATGTTCTTACAGTGACATTGTAGTTCCAGACGCCAGGCTGTCGCAGAGGAGCCTTTTCTAATTGGAAGAGAAAAATGAAACTTCTCCCTAAAGTGGCATTTTTCCAGTCAAACATAAGTGGGCAGCCGGAAGCTTGAGATCTTTCTCACATTCTTTATTTCCTTCTATTGGGGATCCCCCCACCCCACAACCCCCCAGCCATTAGCTCAGGCTGGGATAGCTGGGCCTTGGCTCCCGCCCAGGCCAGGGGTGGAGGGTGCCCTCTGAGGCGGAGGCTGCTGCTTTTGGGGAGTGGCATTAGACTCCAAGGCTCTGAGCTCTGCTGTCACTCTGCCCGGAGACGTTTCCCCTCGTGCTCTGAACCAGGTGCATGTCTTCCCCCATGACGGACAGCTCTACAGGAACATTCCACAAGCGAGCAAAACCGTCCCTGAGCCAGCGCAGGGTGAACGGCCATAAATAGAAGCTCTGCCCCTCAGAGAAGGATTCTCTAGCTTGATCAAGACTCAGGTTTATTAAACAGGTGTAACTGCTGCAACAAAATTTGCATTTGTGTGTGCTAGGCCAGTGTATTTTTATACAAACAAGATAATGTTGGACAATGGCAGTTAAGGCGTGGAAAACATAGTGTACAAAAAAATCTTAATTAAAAAACCTTCATTAAGGTGGGGTGAACATTCCCAATCCCCCTCACCCATCCCCTGAAAGGGTCTTCAGCTCCTATGTGGCACCTTGAGGAGCCAGAGTGGCACTGATGGCCTGGGGCACCATCCCAGCTCTGAGGTATCCAAGGAGTTCCAAGCAACCCCCTTCCATGATTCAAGGGCAATTAAGTGACACTCAGGGTGCAGACATTGGTGGGGGTGCCTTTGCATAATTGGGAATGATTGCAGGATTGGAAGACTGAGTACAGGCAGATACTCTCAGGTGAATGTGGGCGGGACGGGGTCACTGTACTCTGCTCACCAAGCGCGAAGGAGAGAAATCAGGACAGTGACCTCAGGCGCGGGGCCATCTGAAGCTCCCTTGGGGCTGAGGTGAGGGCATGTACCCCAGCTCTTGTTTCTGTAGCTCTCATCACCCATGGGCCCAACTTCAAGTTGATGAGTCATTCACTCACTTAAAATGTGCATGGAAGGCCTTTTCCCTAAAGTTGTTTCTTCGTGGCTGTCAGTGCCCGGCACCCAGGAGAGATAATTAGTCCAGAGAGGCCCCTAAACATCTCACTTCCAGTTAGAAGGCAGCTTGAGGGCAGGGCTGGGACCATGGTTCTCTGGATCCTTTTCCAGAAACTTCAAGGTCTTGTGTTCTCTCTTGAGTCTGTTTTTATGCCTCAGTGGACACTGTAGGTGCGGGGACATCGAGGTCACACCGGGATCCATTTATGGAGCAGAATGCCAGTCAAACACTCCCCTCAGCAATGCCAGGCTGAGCCCAGACCCAAGTCTGCACTGACACACATTCATTCCCAATTTCAAAAGCTTAGACTTGGGAGGAAGCTCGGTCACCAGTCCAGTTCCTTCCTTTGACAGAAGAGGAAACTGAGACCCTGAGATTGTCCGGGGTTCTGAGTCCAGTGCTCAGACCCCCTAGTGTGTCAGGGGTCAGGGCACCAGGTCTTGTTGGTTTGACTCCAAGGTCTGTGACTCCCAGGACGCCCTGACTTGTGAGAATGCAAATGAGAGTCTGGCACTTTTTCATGTTCTTGGGAACCTAGGAGATGTGTACAATACTCAGCATATAAAGGAAAAGAGGAAGGAAGGAAGCCAGATTCTCTTCCACGAGTGCAAAGCATATTAGAAAAAAAAAGCAAAAATGTGTAACCCCATTTCCCCTGCTCTGACGTGTAGTCAGAGGAAGGGGCCTGGTGTCTGGGGATGTGACCATCAGGGGCCTAGAGGCCCGAGACAGACTGTTCCCATCTGCTCCCCTGGAACGTGAGGCCCGTGTCCTGCTCCGTCCCACCTCCAGGGACCAGTGGTCACCACCCAGAGAGCATGGGGCTCAGGTCCTGAGGCCTAGTCCCAGCGCCAGCCATGGGTGGGGGGAGGAGTAGAGTGATGCGCAGGGAGTGGCTCTATCTTGTCTGTCGTGCCCATTTCAGCATGGCTGCTGTTTTCCACGCGGAGACGCAGTGGCAGAGCAGTATCTCCTCCGGGAAGAGAGACTCCATCTCGGGGGGAATGTCACCATCTTTACGCTCCATGCAACTGACTAGAGTGTCTCTCAGGCTGAAAGACCAAGGAACAGGGGACGGCATTTAGAACATATTCCAGACAACCTTGGATACGCCTCCACGGGCACCCCTCCCAGCCATTGGCAGAACCAGTTCTCCCTCAACCAGAAAGGCCGAGGGTCAGCCATAGGCCACCCTAGGCCAGTGGGTCCCCTGGGACCAGGAGCCCCGCTGGAGGTTCTGTTGTGCACCCGCTGCCTCCCATGCGCTGCACAAGCCCTGCAGGAAGGAGCGCCTGGTGGAGGCCCATCTATCTATGTGACCTGCTGGATAGAAAGGGAAGCCTGCCATTCTGTGTCAACAAGCATGTAGGTTCCCCAGGAATGGGCTCCTTTCCCTACACCCAAAACCCAGGGGAACAAGGACTTGTTAAAAAATCCAAAGACATGGCCCTGGCTGGTGTGGCTCAGTTGGTTGGAGCATCGTCCCAAGCACCAAAAGGTCTCGGGTCTGATCCCCGGTCAGGGTACACACCCAGGTTGTGGGATTGATCTCCAATCAGGATGTGTAAGGGAGGCAACCAATTGATGTTTCTCTCTCACCTCTCTCTCTTTCTCTCTCTCTAAAAAAAAAATCAATAAACATTCTCAGGAGAGGGTTAAAAAAATCCAAAGATATAAATGTATACAGGTATATGCTACATAGCATAATAGGAGAAAATAGAGACTTTGCAGTGTTAGTGAGGGGACTGGGGTTTGACTTCTATTTAGAAAACCAGCAAAGTTAAATCCCTACCTCACACACCACACATAGCAATAAACTGGTTACAACATAATCTATATACATAAAACTCTAGTAAGCAAACAGACCGAACTGCGGAACAATTGAACAAAAACAACAGGTCACTATGATGTGCGCTGACCACCAGGGGGTGTGCACAGAACATGGTGAGCATGGGCTGCGGTGGAATGGTGGAGCAGGTGAGCGGGGTCGCCAGACCAAGGTGGGGTGCTGATCACTGTCACCGGGGAAAGCCTCTGGTTGTTACTGAAAATTCTTTGTTCCCATGCACCGTGGTCCTGCCCGCTGCTCACACCTGATGCTGGCGCTGTCCCCACTCGCACTCGCACTCGCTGCAGGCGCCCGGCACCAGTTCCATCTCTTGGCGCCGTCAGTGGGTGTGAGAGGTGGTTGCCGCCCTCGATTGCCTATCAGGGCTTCTCCACCTCCCCCTGCTCCTGAGGGGCAATTGGGGCAGCAGCCTCTGCTCGAACCCGCTGCTGGCGCCTGCACCAATTGCTCTGCGCCACGAGCAGTTGCAAGCGGGATCAGCACTGTCAGAGTGCAGAAGTGGCGGTGGCAGGAGCAGGGCTGCTGGCAGACAGGGGACAAGGAGCCACGGTGGGAGGGGCCGGGTGGGGGAACTGGAGGATGGGCTGAGACCTGCTCCTATACCCATCATAGGCTCATGGCCCACAGTTACTTTCAAGGTGCACGAATTCATGCACTGGGCTCCTAGTGTACAACATAAAACTCTAGAAGCACAAGAAGAAAACTCTCTGGATTATCTTATAGCCTCGGGATCAGGGAGGCCCTTATCACTCTCTGTCCCCATGGAGGCTCCACGGAAAAATTCTGTCAGCTTTGGCCTCATAAATTTCAAGGTCAGGGTTCGATTCCAGGTCAGGGCACAGGCTGGAGTTGTGGGCAAGATCCCCAGTAGGGGGTGTGCAGGAGGCAGCCAATCAATGATTCTCTCTCATCATTGATGTTTCTCTCTCTCCCTCCCTCTCCCTTCTTCTCTGAAATCAATGAAAACATATTTTAATAAAGAGCATTTGTAACATAATGGATAAAAGGTTAATTCTAATATTTTAAGACTAAGAAAAAATAAACAGCTCCCCCCAAATAATCAAAGGGTATCAGGAGATAATTAAGAGGAAATATACAAATGGCTGATAAACAGAAAAATATTTTCAGCCTTACTAGTGAATAGGGAACTGTGAGTGGACATGGGACAGCATGTTCTGGCCATTAGGTTGGTGAAAATGTAAAAGACAGATAATATTAATGTGTGTATTCTCACACTATGCACGGGTGTAGCTTTTTCTATGAGTTAAATGTGGGGATGGGAGTGGATTAGAAGGGGTTAATGGGGGAAAAGGTGACATTTGTAATACTTTCAACTATAAAGATAAATATAAAAAGACAATCAGTGAATGCATAAATAAGTACAGCAACAACATAATGACAGTTAAAATGAACATCTCTTTGACAAGTAAGTCCAGTTGCTATACTGAGAATATGACTTTTGCAATTATTCAAAAAGATCCTATAGAGCAGGGGTGGGAACCTTTTTTCTGCCAAGGGCCATTTGGATATTTGTAACAGCATTCACAGGCCATTCAAAATTCTCAACTTAAAAATTAGCCTGTTATATTTGGTCAAACATTTACTCACCCCTAATGCCTTGACAGGACCACACCAAATGATTTTGCTGGCGTTTCACAGCCCATGGGCCAGATGTTCCCACCCCTGCACTAGAGACTGACACCCCCAAAGCCAGTCCTCAGGGACCCTGGCAATGGGAACTGCAGGTAAGACAGGAATTGGAGGTTTGCAGGAATGATGGTGCGAGGGTGCCTGGCCTGCAGGTGCACCAGCCCTACCTCCATTCGGGTTTGAAGTCGACCTCGGTTTGGGAGTTCTTCAGTTTCAAGAGGATCATTTCGTGGAGCTCCAGGAGGAAGGTGTCCAGGGAGCTCTGGTTCAGGAACGTGCGCAGTTGCTTGGCGAGTTCCGGGCTGAGTTCCACTCTGTACTTGGCACTGATCTTCCTGAAGGGCTCCTGCAGCGAAGGAGGCACAGGTGAGGGAGGCCAGGCAAGTAAGTGTCAAGTGGACATCAGGAGGCGGGACTTACTTTCTGCAGGCGCAGCAGCTGCTCAGACTTGTGGGCTGAGAGGAGCTGCCAGAGGGCGATGATGTGCTGGAGCTGACATCGGTGTAAGGCCTGCGAGAGGAAGTGGTTCCTGCAGGTGGTGGCTGAGCGCTCTGCACTCAGGTGCCTGTGTCTCTCTCCCTCCACCATGGGCTCCAGTGCTGAGTCCCTGCCTCTCTGAGTGAGAGGCTTCTACACAGCACGTCAGCCCCAGCCAGGACCAGTGGGCAGGTGCGTTGTCCTTGGTCACCCCTGCCGCGCTGGCTGCTGCGCCTAGTCTTCCCTTCCCAGCACACCCTCGACCTCAGGGTCTGTTCTGTGTCCAGGAGGGCTGGCCGGGGAGGGACTGCTAGACTTGCCCGCTAGACTGACTTGCTCTCTGTGCCCTCAGGAAGTGAGGGCAGGATGGGGGGGGGTAGAGCTGGTCTCCTTTGAGACCCACCTTGACCACCTGCTCGGTCTGGTCGCCCATGCGCAGCTTGTCCTGCAGGTACACGTTCAGGTCCATGTTGGGGTCCTCGCCCGCTGTGCTCAGAAACCCCAGCGTGACTTCCACGAGGGACAGAGCTTCGCAGGTGTCGCTGTGGGACTGCAGCTGCCTGCCCAGGGCGCTGGTGGCCGCGTGGGAGAGGGGGCTCTGGAAATGGGAAGCAGGGCAGGGGTCCGTGGGCAGGGGTGCATGGAGGCCTGGTAAGACTGCTGACCGCCACCGCCAAGGTCACAGGCTGGGAGGAGCACTGTGCTTCCTAAGTGTCGGCTGTTTCCTAGTCACAGATGGGAACTCACCGGACCCTCAGAGCCACTTGTGAGGATGTGCACACAGACACATGCACACACACTCCACACATACATTTAACACGCACACACATGCACACACACTCCACGCATACATTTAACATGCTCACACATGCACACATACATTTAACACGCACACACATGCACACACACTCCACACATACATTAAACACGCACACACATGCACACACTCAACATGCACCCGCCACAAACAGAGTTCTCTGGCCTTCCACATCGGCACACGTGGCCATGACACCGGGACCACGAGACTGCCATCTGCCATGCTCCACGAGAAAGCGTGTGTGCCGGCCACCTGGCCTCGCCTGCCCTCCGGAAGGAGCGGTGGGTGGGCTTAGGGAAGGAAACGCCCGGTGTGGGAGTGGCCTGTGTGAAGGGAGCCCCCAGCGAGACAGGCACAGTGCTCACCTGGGGCATCCTGCTCCTGATGGCGGCGAACAGGTGCTCATAGTTCCAGTCTTGCCTGTACACCAGCGTGGGGAGGCCCCTAAGTCTCAGCCTGGGTTTGCCCTGGAGGAAGCGGCCGATGACCTGGCGCTGGATCCGCTCCAGGTCCAGCTCCTGCAGGCTCTCGGCGCCCTGCACCACTTGGTACTGGCAGTTGGAGAGGATCAGCGGCAACAGGTCCCGCTCCACCTCGTAGCTGATGACGTGCAGGTCGGCCACCTCGGAGGCGTCCACGGAGTAGCTGAGGATGGAAGACGGCGCTCGGGGCGGTCCAGCGTGCTGCTCCCGGCCGCAGCAGAGGACACCGCACAGAGGCCTGCAACACTTGAGGGCGGGGCTGGGCCTGCTTTTGCCAGAGAGCTGACTTGGCCTGCTGACCCTGCCCCCAGGGCTCAGAAACGCCTCCCTGGGCTGAGAGGGCAGGACCCCCGGGCGTGCCCTCACCTGTGCTCCTCCTTGGAGAACTTCTCCACCGCATAGACCATCTCGTTGTGCAGGCTGATCAGGTAGCTGACCAGGGCTGTGGCGCAGAGGCCCAGGCCCTGGCGACGGGGCAGAATGACCTCGAACTCCGTGTCCAGGTCCCGGTCGGCACAGCAGTAGTCGGCAGGCAGCTTGATCTCCCCTTTAAAGGACAGGCTGTTTTCCAGCAGCTGCTCTGAGCCGCTTCCTGCAGGGCATCAGGGCCGGAGGCCCCGCAGGAGCAGCAGCAGGGACCCCAAGCCTGAGCAGCGCCCAGGGACTGAGGTCCCCCTCCCGTTCTCCAGGTGCCACTGTCCCCAGAGCTCCCAAGTCCCTTTTGTTGGCACATGTACAGACCCAAGAGGACTGAGGGTGGGTTTTTTTTCTTTTCTTTTTTATTGATTTCAGAGAGGAAGGGAGAGAAGAGAGTAAATATCAATGAGAGAGAATCACGGATCTGCTGCCTTCTGCACGCCCCACACTGGGGACAGAGCCCACAACCCGGGCATGTGCCCTGACCCGGAATTGAACTGTGACCTCCCGGTTCATAGGTTGATGCTCAACCACTGAGCCACGCCGGCCGGGCCAGAGGGTGGATTTTCCAGCTGTGTGGTTTCACCATCCCAGACCCCTCCACCCAGACGCAGGTGGTGCTGTGTGGAGAGGGGACTGCAGGCAGGGCCATGAGGATGGGTCCTCCTGTGGCCTTTCGCGTTGAAGGGGAGCGTGCACTCACCACGAGTCTCCAGAGACCTCCTCAGCTTGTTCCACGTGGACAGAAACACCGTGATGCGGCTGTGGAGCAGCTGCTTCAGGCCCCCTGCCAAACACCCCCACTGTGCAGGTCAGACCCGCCAGGACATTTGCGCTGGCCCTACACTCGCTCACCAAATGCTGCTGCCTTGGGAGCATGGCGGCCCAGTGTGGGGAGCTGGAGTGAGGCTGCAGCAAAGCCTTCACCGTGTCCCGGGGTTCATGGCAGCCCATCCTCCTGCGAAAAGCGCCCGGGGGCCCAGAACTGCCCCCAGCCCCAGTTGGAGTGACCCTTGAGCCACCAGACACAGGTGTCCTGACCTCCTGTGACGGGAGAGTCCTACCTGAGCTGTGACTGTCAATGAAACTTCTGATGGACTGGTACTCAGCTTCTGGAACATTCTGGAACCGTTTCACCAGATCCTTCTGCAGGGCCAGAATCTCAGGCAAGAACTTCACCAGTCTCAGCTCTGCTTCCTGGGGAGGGAAGACCGACCCATCACATCCTTTATCTGCCCAGAAAGTGCCACTGGGAACAGAGGCTGTGGGGCTGGCTCATGGCGTGTGTTTGTATTTTCATCCAGTCAACGTGGCTTTTTTTTTTTTAATTTTCACTCAAGAATATTTTCCATTGATTTATAGAGAGAGAGGAAAGAAGGGAGGGAGGGAGAGAAACATGGATGTGTGAGAGTTACATCGATTAGCTACACACCCCAACCCGGGGGAAGATGGAGCTGCAACTGAGGTGTGTGCTCTTGACCAGTAATTGAACCCATGACACTCGAACCACTGAGAAAACCTGGCCAGGGCCAAAGTGGCATTTTGTGTGACCCTTGGAAATGGGGAAAAGGCTGTTCCACGTGTCAGCACGTTCTACACTCTGGAGGCAGTGGAGTAGACAAAGCCCCTGTCTCACAGGCCCACACATCAGCCTCTAGACCAGTGATGGCGATGACACGCGTGTCAGAGGAGACACGCAAACTCATTTTTTGGTTGATTTTTCGCAAACTCATTTTTTTGGTTGATTTTTCTTTGTTAAATGGCATTTAAATATATAAAATAAATATCAAAAATATAAATCGTTTTTCTATATGTGACACGGCACCAGAGTTAAGTTAGGGTTTTTCAAAATGCTGACACGCCGAGCTCAAAAGGTTCTCCATCATTGCTCTAGGGCCAACGGGATGGGCTGGGTGTGGAGAGGAGCAGCCCAGAGCCCAGGACCTGGAGCCCAGGCGGGGTTCCTGCCTCACCCCGGGGTGCCGTGCTGAGGACCTGGCCTGAGCACCTTCCCAGGGACAGAGCAGGGTCTTAACATGAAGCCCCTCTGCTGTGAGCTCGCTAAGCTGCCAACACTGCTCCGTGGAGGGAAACAACTGGGACGTCTACTGTAGAAAATGCAAGTCCCAGGCACTGAACTAAGAGCAGTGTGTGTTTCTGGTTCTAAGGATACGACCATCCCTTAATGCCCCTTGTGCTGTAAACCCAAACGGTTCAGGAACAGTGAGATTCTGTTTGACTTTAGACTGTAATTTTTCATTCAACAGACATGCATGGATGACCAACTGCCCCAGGCGCTGGGGGGATGGAGGTGGCCGGACATGGCCAGGCGAGACTCGTAGCCTGTTCTTTCTTGCTCCCCAGGCCCCCCAGGTCTTTGCAGATTCCCACTAATCCCACCTCGTGCATGATTCCCCTGTGAGTTAAGTTCACACCACCCTCCCCTTTGTCCTCTGCTGCAGATAGCTGGGTCAGGATCCAACCCTGAAGCAGGGTGCCCGGCGCCCACCCTTAGGGAAGATCAGGCTGTCTTCTAACCGTGCCTCAGGCTCGAAGGGGAATCAGGCAGACGGTCCCTGCCAGGTGCCCACCTTCTGCAGGAACCTCCAGAGGACTGGCACGGCCTCCTGGCCGTTTTTCTGCTCCACGACGTGCCGGAGGTGCTCCACGGTGATCCTGGTGCGGCAGCTCCACATCTTTGAGCAGTGGACTGCGCTGCCCCGGGGCAGGCTGCGCAGGAAGGTGGCCGGGTCCTCGAACACGATCCTGGCCACCGGGTTGGATTGGACATGCTTGTCGCGGCTGATGAGATTGTTCACCTCTAGGAGGGTTTTATCCAGATGCTACATGGGGCAAATGATACCAGGCGCTGGGTATGAGGCACCACTGTGGACAGATGGGGTCACCTGGGACGGGGCCGTGGGTGAATGAGCAGGAGCCTGACCTGCTCATTTTATTTTTTTGTTTGTTAATCCTCACCCGACGATATTTTTTCCATTGAAAGTGGAAGGTGGGGGAGAGACAGAGAGATACATTGATGTGAGAGAGACACATGGGTTGGTTGCCTCACACATGTGCCCTGACCAGCGGTATGTGCCCTTGATGGGAACTGAACCTGGGACCCTTCAGTCCAAGGGCTGACACTCTAACCACTGAGCCAAACCGTCTAGGCCGACCTGCTCATTTGACACATAATCAAATATCCATGTTGGTTAACTTTCATCCTAATTCTGTATGGTTCTGTCTGCCCAGATGGCATGAGACTCAGGCCTACATCTTCCTCCCACCCTGTTACTTGCTGATGCTTATTTCCTGATGGGCTTTGTTACTCTGAGGAGCATCCTTGTCTGACTGAGGAGTAGTTGACCTATGGTCGTTAGTACACACTGGGGGTGGGTCTATATGTGGTCGTTTATGTCTCTGCCTCTTGCTTTCACAATCTGCTGTGAAATGAAATGGAGAGAAAACTATGCCCCATACCTTCTGGGCCCCAGCTGTTCCTCCCCCTGATGCACCCACAGGCGAGGGAGGGAGAGGTCGGATGGCAGGCAGGGGTGACCTGGGCTGGCACAGCTGGATCTGAGATTGGCTGAGGGCTCTGGCCACCTTTGCTAAGGCACATAGGCTGAACCCCAGCGACTTCCCAGGAAGCCCTCCCCCCAAACCTGTTGCCCCTCTTCACTCACCTTCAGTTCGGGCAGCATGATGGCCTCCAAGAGTTTTTCCCAGGAATCTCTCTCTTCTTTGGTTGACAAGTTTTCATTAAACTTGAAAAACCCTACAAAGAAAAATGTGTGGGTTCCCCAAGGAACAAAACCCCCAGCTGTCTACATATAGTGAACCTGAATAAGTGTTAAACTGAAATAATGTTCCTTTTTCAGGGGGATGTGGGTATCTTCTAAATTAACCAGAGTATTAAAAAAATGGCTCCTGTCCTAACCATTTGGCTCAGTGGACAGAGCACCAGCCTGTGGACACAAAGGTCCCAGGTTCAATTCCTGTCAAGGGCATGTACCTTGGTTGCGGGCACAACCCCAGTAGGGAGTGTGCAGGAGGAAGCTGATCGATGTTTCTCTCTCATCGATGTTTCTAACTCTCTATCCCTCTCCCTTCCTCTCTGTAAAGAAATCCTATCTAATAATAGACAAACATGGTAATTGACCGTACCTTCGCTACACCTCCCATCGGCTAATCAGTGAGATATGCAAATTAACCGCCAACAAAGATGGTGGCTAATTTGCATACTGCAGGCAGAGCGGGACAGCACCAGCCGGCAGTGCAAGCTACCATCCAGGCCCCCGTGGGCGACCCCAGAAGCTGTCTGCCTGCCGCCCGTGATCAGATTCGATCCCGGGCCACTGGCTGGCCCCAGAAGCCCCAGAAGCCACCTGATATGGTACTAACTCCATCAGTAAGCACTCTGAAAGTCAGTGGCATAAATGCACCAATTAAAAGACAGATTATGAGGGTGAATCAAAAACAAAACCCACTTTAAATATAAAGACACATATAGATGAAAAGTAAATGAATTAAGCTGCAGCCTGTTTTGCTCAGTGGATAGAGCATTAGCCCGTGGACTGAAGGGTCCCAGGTTTGATGGCCACTCAAGGGCATGTACCTCAGTTGCTGGCTTGATCCCCAGTCCCTATCAGAGCATGTGCAGGAGGCAGCCAATCAATGTGTCTCTCCCTTTCCCTTCACTCTCTCTAAAATTCAATGGAAAAATATCCTTGGGTGAAGATTAACAAAAACAAAGTAAATGGATTAAGTAACATTAAAGAGATTATAAGAAAAATATACTCCAAATTTGTCAGTTGTATAATGGTTATGTTTAAATTATTAACACCTAAGAAATTGGGTGAAGGGTACATATGATATGCTGTAGTATTTTATAGTTTTTTTACATGTATGAGATTATTTCAAATTAAAATATTAAAAAATTAAAAATTAATAAAATGTCAATTGAAATGTATCTGCATTACATGAAAAATCTCCTAATTGCTTCTAGCATAATTTATTAAATTGTGCTAAAATTTACAAGGGTTCAATTAAAAAATATATTAATTCTAAATGATATAATAGAAAATATATAATAGTGCAGTTATAAGCACTTATCTGAAAATAAAAATTTAAAGAAGTGAATTTAAAGAAGGGATTAGCCAAAGAAAATATATGCACAACCCATGGACACAGACAACAGTATGATGATGGCCAGAGAGGAGTGGGGGGCAAGAGCTGGGCAGAGGGGGCAAAAGGGGGGAAATAGGGACATCCTATCTATTTATATAAAAACGATGGGTGGTGTTCGTCACATACAGAGGAACAGCGACTAGCGGAAGCAAGTCAGTCCTGCAGGGGTTGTCTTGGCAATGGCTGCGCCTTCCCCCAAGCTGTTTCCCGGGGCTGTTTCCTGTAAGGGCGGAGTTTGAGGCAGGAACCCACCCTGGGAGCATGGAGGCAGATCTTTCTAAAGTATGAACCTGAGTGGGGCGGCTGAAAGGCTTAGAAAAGACAGACAAGAGAATGAAAGCCGGGTCTCGGTGGGACGCTGCTTCTCTGAGAGACAGTGACCACGCCCACAGCCATGCCTTTAGTTTATAGCAGATGCTACGAGGCAAAGTAAGGGCGTGACCAAGATGTTTACAACATTCTCGTGGGTTTCAATCCTACTCAACTACATGCACCTGAACGCTATCATGCCCACATCACTCAGGCACGTGGGGCCATGTGTTTGGACCATAGGTTCAAGCTTACAACTACAGCTGTTGGCTATAATTGTGCTGGGAGGGCTCTGCCCTCCAAGCTGGGACTTGCACGTGGCAATGAGAGGACTGTGCCCTCTCATCAGTTCAAGGCTTGAACCTGTCCAAAACACTGTAGCGGCTCCCCACAATAAAGTTTTAATTCTGTTTCTTTGTTACTAATGTTGTGGCCCCACCCCATAACAAAGAAACAAAGGAAAATTTCCCCATTGAATTTCTGAATAGTATTACTCCTTCAGGAATGCCGTGTCATAAATTAAAATTGAAAGTGGGTGCAATCATCATGCTATTGAGAAATCTCAATAGTAAATGGAGCCTTTGTAATGGTACCAGATTTATTATCAAAAGATTGCGACCTAACATTATCAAAGCTGAAGTATTAACAGGATCTACAGAGGGAGAGGCTGTTCTGATTTCAAGAATTAATTTGTCCCCATCTGACACTGGCCTCCCATTTAAATTGATTCGATGACGGTTTCCCGTGATGCCAGCATTTGTGATGACTATTAATAAATCACAAGGACAAACTCTAGATAGAGTAGGCATGTTCCTACCTGAACCTGTTTTTGCACATGGTCAGTTATATGTTGCTTTCTCTCGAGTTTGAAGAGCATGTGATGTTACAGTTAAAGTTCTAAATACTTCATCACAAGAGAAATTAGTCAAGCACTCTGAAAGTGTTTTCACTCTTAATGTGGTGTACAGGGAGATATTAGAATAAGTCGAATCACTTTATTAGTCATTGTTTCCATCACTGTTGTTTTCATATCATGTTTTTGTTGTTTTCATATCATGTTTTTGTTGTTTTTATATCATGCCTCTGTTGTTTTTATATCCTTTTTTTACTGTTTATTTATTAATAAATTTACATATGATTTTCATATACATTTTACTAATTTCCTTTCATCTCTCACACTTCTATTATAAAGGGCAAATAGCAATATTAAAATATCTCTTCTAATTAATTCCCTTTAAAAAATATATTTTATTGATTTTTTACAGAGAGGAAGGGAGAGGGCTAGAGAATTAGAAACATCGATGAGAGAGAAACATCGATCAGCTGTCTCCTGCACACCCCCTACTGGGGATGTGCCTGCAACCAAGGTACATGCCCTTGACCGGAATCGAACCTGGGACCCTTCAGTCCACAGGCTGATGCTCTATCCACTGAGCCCAACCGGTTAGGGCAATTAATTCTCTTTTAATGTGCACAAATTCCATGCACCGGGCTACTAGTATCTAATCTAATAATAGACAAACATGATAATTGACCATACCTCTGCTATGCTTCCCACTGGCTAATCAGCAGGATATGCAAATTAACCCAACTAAGATGGCGGCCGGCAGCCACGCAGCTAAAGTGAGCAGGAGGCTTGCTTGCTCCAGTGATGGAGGAAGCCAAGGTTCCCCACCTGCCTCGGCCCGGCTCTGAGCTCCGGAAGCAACAATGTTTCAATTATAGAAGCTAAAAAAACCCAGATACCTGCTTTCAGCAGGCCGTGGCCTCAGAGCTGGAGGGGCAACAAAGTTGCAATTATAGAAGGTAAATAAATCCCAGAATAAAAAAAAAAGAAAAAAAGGAGAGGCTGGGAGCTTCAGTCGCCGGCTTGGCCAGCCTGAAAACAGCCCTCAGCCCCTCATCCAGACTGGCCAGGCACCCCAGTGGGGACCCCCACCTTAAAGGGGGTGCAGGCAGCCTGAAAACAGCCATCAGCCCCTCATCCAGGCTGGCCAGGCACCCAAGCGGGACCCCCACCCTGATCCGGGACACCCTTCAGGGCAAACCAGCTGGCCCCCACCCGTGCACCAAGCCTCTATCCTATATAGTAAAAGGGTAATATGCAAACTGACCCTAATAGCAGAAAGACTGGGAATGACTGGTCACTATGACACACACTGACCACCAGGGGGCAGACGCTCAATGCAGGAGCTGCCCTCTGGTGGTCAGTGTGCTCCCACATGGGGGAGCTCTGCTCAGCCACAAGCCAGGCTGATGGCTGCCAGTACAGCGGTGGTGGTGGGAGCCTCTCCTGCCTCCTCAGCAGCACTAAGGATGTCCGACTGCAGCTTAGGCCTGCTACCCGCTGGCAAGTGGACATCCCCTGAGGGCTGCTGGGCTACCAGAGGAATGTCTGATTGCCAGCTTAGGCCCAATCCCCCGAGGAGCAGGCCTAAGCCAGCGGGTGGTCATCCCCCGAGGGGTCCCAGAATGCAAGAGGGCACAGGCCGGGCTGAGAGACCCCCCTGCCAGGGTGCACAAATTTTTGTGCACCGGCCCTCTAGTAATAATAATAAAAGGCTAATATGCAAATTGACTGAATGGCAGAATGGCCGGTTGCTATGATGCACACTGGCCACCAGGGGGCAGATGCTCAATGCAGGAGCCGCCCCCTGGTGGTCAGTGCACTTCCATATGGGGAGTGCCACTCAGCCAGAAGCTGGCTCATGGCTGGCCAGCACAGAGGTGGTGGCAGGAGCCTCTCTCGCCTCCGTGGCAGCATTAAGAATGTCCAACTATGGTTTAGGCCCGATCCCTTGGGGGCCTAAGCCTTTAGTCAGACATCCCCAGAGGGCTCCCTGGCTGCCAGAAGGATGTCTAACTGCAAGCTTAGGCCTGATCCTCCAGGGAGTGGGCCTAAGTCAACAGGTGGACATCCCCCAAGGGGTCCTGGACTGTGAATAGGTGCAGGCCGGGCTGAGGGACCCCCCCCCCGAGTGCACAAATTTTTGTGCACCGGGGCTCTAGTCAATAAAATATATTTTAAAAAATGGCTCCTGCAGCTACCCCCCCCCCCCATGTTCTTTGTGAAGATGCGTCAATTTCTGACATTGGAGACTGCAAAGCCTCCCCACACACCTCTCTGCTAATGACCGGACTCTCGCAAAGAGCTTGGAAAGGACAGATGAGTCTGTCCCTCCGCTGACAGGCACACTGCTCCCACCGTGCCCATCGCCACCCTTCTGTCTCCCCCAGGCCCTGCATTGTGCCCCAGGGCCTCCTCAGGCACCCCTCGCCCCAGTCCCTTACTCTGGGGGGAGAGGGGCTGCTGCTTGAACAGGATGCACAGGACGAGGTGCGCCACCTGGGCCGTATCATCAGCGCTCTTGCCCAGCATCTTCATCAGCTGCTGCAGGTCCCTCTGGATGTGCTGCTGGAGGAACGCACCTGGATCCCTCACTGCGGGCTTGATGATGTCAATCAGAGCCTGAGATGGGTGGGACAGTGCATCAGACAGGCGGTGTGTGGGGGCCAGGAGGAAAACACCAGCTCTGAGTCAGGAGGTGGTTCTCAAGGAGGACGCAGGAAGGTGGAGTAGCAGACAAGGGGGCTCCAGGATCATGGGAGGGAAACAGGGGCCTCCCCCCCCCCGCCCCGACACACACACACACACACACACACACACACACAGAGTTGAGCCAGGTCTCACTACTCTCGTGGTTCAGTAACTCAGAGGACAGGCCGCTCTTCCGGCCCCAGAGCCCAGACACGGAAAGACTGTGAGTGCATCAACCTCTCCACACTCAGGTGTGGATGGCGCCAGTCACTGAAAATGGACTTCAGCCCTAGCCAATGTAGCTCAGTGGATAGAGCATTGGCCTGCAGACTGGAGGGTCCCGGTTTGATTCCGGTCAAAGGCACATGGCTAAGTTGCAGGCTCAATCCCCAGTAGGGTGTGCAGGAGACAGCCGATCAATGATTCTCTCATCATTGATGTTTCTATCTCTCTCTCCCTCTCCCTACCTCTTTGAAATCAATAAAAATATCCTATATAATAAAAGCCTAATATGCTAAGTGTCTGGTTGTTCGGTCGGCCGTTCAACCAATCAAAGTGTAATATGCTAATGATATGGTAAGACTGCTCAACCGCTTGCTGTGATGTGCACTGACCAGGAGGGGGCAGACAGTTGACCGTTCAACCCGTTGCTATTACATGCACTGACCACCAGGGGGCAGATGCTCCAACTGTTAGGTTAGCTTGCTGCTGGGGTCTGGCTGATCGGAACTGAGCGAGATGGGCTGGATATGCCCTGGAGCCCTCCTACGGTCCCTCCCTGGCTGGCCAACCTCCCGCATCCCTCCCTGGCCCCGATTGTGCACCGGTGGGGTCCCTCAGCCTGGCCTGAGCCCTCTCGCAAACTGGCACCCCTTGGGGGATGTTGGAGAGCTGGTTTTGGCCCGATCCAGCAGGCCAGGCTGAGGGACCCCACTGGTGCATGAATTCGTGCACTGGGCATCTAGTACTGAAAATAAAATGGACTTGATAAAGGCTGGTGAGCACTTCTCCATCCCACCAGATGCTGCCTTGGGCAGAGTCAGGGTGTGTAAACTTTGTGTTACCTGGTGGATTCGGTAGAAAGACAAATTCGAAACACACAGGAGGGGCTAGGCCCTGAGAAACAGTAGGGAGCACAGGGCTGCAGGACAGAACACAGAGCTGGACATCCCTGCAGGTACCTTGGGGCTGTGGGCCGCACCCAAAAGCATAGCCAGGTGAGTGAGGAGCCGGGCGAGAAGAAAGACCACCGGGGACAGCTCTCGGTCAGAAAGCACCGCCTCATCACTGGGGGGTGGGCTTCCCAGCACGTGGCCAGTCTGTGTTCTGTCTGCCGTGTTTCTGGAAAGAGTAGGAGAGGCCCAGTGAGGGCGAAAGTCATCTCTTCTCAGCTCAGGGGCACACCTAGGTCCTGGGGGCCTGAAGACCGGATTCATGTTTGGGGAAAAGAATAACGTTAAAAGCACCTTTTCTGCTAAGCCCAGACCGCTTTCCCAAGAGTCTTGCTCTTCCTAGAACTACCCTCCTGGCTGTCCTGCAGCCACAACATTCTCAGGGAAAAGGGGCTGAAAGAAGCAGCATTCAGTGCTGTCCAGGGGCCACCCCTCAACACGAACGGCTGGACCTGCTTCTTCCGCTGCAATCACATGGGACAGAAGGCGGGCTCAGGACAGCCAGAGTCTGGGGCAGCCGACATTTGATATGGGGACATGGGCAGAGCGGTCTCCTTTTCCCAAATCAAAGACTGGGACCAAGGTCAGGTGAAGGAGTTCTGGCCAAGCCCAGATGGCAGGTACTGTGTGATAGACAAGTCCAGTTGCAGAAATAGGGTGTCCCCAGAAAATGTACACATGCTTTAACAGCGGATATCTCAGTTGATGTTTCTTTCTTTTTCAGATTTAACCCATTGGAATCACTAATCACTCAAAGTGAGCCCAACCACCATGGCTCAGTGGTTGAGTGTTGACCTATGAACCAGGAGGTCAGGGTTCCATTCCCCATCAGGGCACAGGCCCTGATTGTGAGCTCAATCCCCAGTGCAGAAGGCAGCCAATCAATGATTCCCTCTCAATGTTGATGTTTCTATTTCTCTCTCCCTCTCCCTTCCTCTCTAAAATCAATAAACGTATATTAAAAAAATAATTATTCAAGGTGTGTATACATTTTTGGGGACACATATTTGTACCTATTACTGTGAATACCTGTTGGCAGTTCTAGAACATTCTGATGGTTTATCGAGACAACAGGTTGGAATATTTTGAACTGTGGCTACACCAGAATAGCCAGGGAGGATGATGAACATGGAGAGGCCCGCCTCCTGTCTCAAGGCAGCATTTACTCCTGTCTGGACAGGTGAGCAGGGTAGGTTGGAAGACCAGGCTTTCTCGGGGTGGGAGGGGTTTGAGGAAGCCAAGCGAGTTTACCAGTGAGATGGTGTCTGTCCCATGGGTTTTGCAGACTGAAATGTCCTCAGAATTAGATCACCTGCCTACGTCACACCTATCTCAGTGGGTGCTTGCCCTGGGCAGGCCCACGTGGGAGACACCTGTATGAGCAGGCGCTCATATAACAGTACTAATATGTGTTCTGCCCTGCCCTTCCGAGCCCAGGTGGCCAATGGCGCATCTGGCACATCGCCGTGTATGACCATGGGACCGTGGCCCGATCCCTGCCGGTCAGTGGCCCACGTGCACTGCAGTAGTGATCCCTGTTTTGTGTCAGTTTATCAGGTGGGAGAGAAACAGCCCATGGCGGGGGTGAGGGGGTCCGAGCAGTGAGAAGGAAACAGCCTTACGTACTGGACTCCCGTGAATCCTTCGTTGGGCTTGTGGTTCTGCCCTCCGACAGGCGCACCGCAGTCGATACAGGAACTCTGCTCCATGGGTCGGCCGCACTGGGGAGAGGCGGGTGTCAGCTCAGGGCGTGGGCACCATGGTGGGGGGGAGTGGGGAGGGCTGGCAGGCCTACTCAGCACTGGGGCTTAGAGCCATGCATCTCTCTCTCCCCACCTCGCCCCCTCTCTGCCCACCTCTCCTCTCTGGGCTAGTAACCAGCTTCTGAGCCGGTCACCACTTTGCCGTCACATGTCCCTGAGCTCATGCTGCGGGGCCACAGAGGGTGGCTGGCGGTGGTTCCTAACCTGCAGCCATGCTGTCTCCCAGGGACCTGTAGCACCTCTGGGTGATGCACCGGGGAATCGAGGTGCTCCTGGAAGCTGGGGATCAGGGCTAGGGATGCTGCCCAGGATGCCCGATAAAGACAGTCACAAGGTACCGAGGCTGGAGCCTGACTGGACACCCTCAGCTCCATGCAGAAGTTCAGTTGGAGCCTGGAGCAGCCCTCAGAGGCACCTGTGTTCCCTGGGAGGTCAAGACTCTCCTCCTCCTCCTCTTCCATGTCCCCTCAGACCTGAAGAACACACGCTTCTTGAGCCCCCAAAACCCTGCTCCCAACACCCAGACTCACCTCCCCAACACAGCACAGGTGACCTCTAGGACATGCTGTGGAAAGAAGAGCAGGGCACACTTGACTGGCGAGGTTTCCCCCACTGACCTGCGCAGTGCAGAGGAGGGCTAAACCCTGTCCTGGGCCTGTCCTCCCTCCCTCCCCATCAGGAGAGGGCATTTGGGCCACGTGGGAAGCCAGCTGTGCACTGAACTCTCTGGAGCAGGAGAGGCCAACTCCACGCAGAGCCAGGGCTGCTGGGGAGACAGGTGGGCGACATGTCCGCTCTCTGATCCGGTTCTTTGTCCTGAGCATGCTTTCTTCCAGCTTGAAGGACTATTCACTCAGCCCACAGACTTTACAAAGCCATGGGCTATATTGCTCTGTTTCCCAGTTTCATTTTCCTAAGATAACTGCCTTAGGGCCCCACGCACGGCTGCGTTGAGGCTGAGCCTCGGGCATGGCTCCCAGTCCCCTGCTCTCCAGGCAGCAGGATGAAGGGAACAGGAGCTCATCAGGCCTTGCCTGACCAGGAAAGGCGCAAGCTCATCTATACTCTGCACACCATGCCTGTCCCGCCATGTGGCACCAACCATGTGGGCCCCTGCTCTGAGCCAAGGGCTCACATGGCACCAGGAAGCTCGTCAAAGCTCAGAGGACTGGGACCATGGGACAGGACACGTACTGTACCACTGGACACGTTCCAGACCCTTCCAGCTCCTGGCCTGCGCCAGCATGTCCTGGGGCATCGTCGGGAGAAATGCCCTCTGAAACACAGAGAAATCAGAGCCACCGTTAGACACGGCAGGAGGTCTGGCTTCCTCTCTCCCGGGCCTCGGGAGCTGTCTGTGCAGAAAGATAGCTCTCTGTGAAGCAACAGGGGGAGGCCTGGTTCTCCCACACTGGGCATCGTGATCGGGTGAGATGCAGGCAGATGGGGGCTCAAGGACACAGATGGGTTCAACAGTGTCCTGCACAGACAGGGCCTCTGCATGACAAGCCCACCCTGGGGTCCCCACGTGGCTGATGTGTTACCGCCATGGTGTCTGGGGAGAAGGCCAAGTTCCTGAGGGGCTCCAAGACCCTGTGCTGCCCGCAGAGGAGGGTGATGGCGGTGTGAACGGCCAGCTCAGTCACCATGCCCACCAGGCCGCCGTCTCCGGGCCCTGCGGTCCTCAGCAGCGGCAGAGCGTTGGTCACAAGGCCTGTCGCAAAATCTCTCATGTCTGGGGACAGGGTCTGGCTTTCTTCGATGAACTTGCCAAGGGCCTTGAGTTCCTAAGGGAGAAGGTGGTTCAATGTTAAAACATGAGGAAGAATATGCCGTGAATCAAAAGGTTTGCTCTTAAGTCACGCCCCCCCATTTGATACCAGATGGCTATCGGATGTCATGGTAAACAGGGCTAAGTCGCTGCCATTGAAGGGGACTGTCTGCAAGGGAAAAGTTCACGTGTGGACAGCAGCCCAGGCCCAAGCACTTACCTTCTTGCTTTAGTTTTAACTGTAATTCTAAAAGCGTTGGGTAAAGCAGAAATTAATCCCTCCATGCAAGAAGGGGGAAACCCACATCCCAGATAAAACAGACAGGTATAATTTGTGTTTGTGACTTTCTTTCAGGTTAATCATCACCTGAGGATATACTTTTCCCATTGCTTTTTAGAGAGGTGCGGGGGGAGAGAAACAGCGATGTGAGAGACACATTGGTTGCCTCCTGCACACGTTCGCCTGGGGCGGAGGAATGAACCTGCAACCCGGGTATAGGGAACCAACCGGTGACCCTTTGGTGCATAGGCCGGAGCTCTGCTCACTGAGTCACAGCAGCCAGGCCATGTTTGTGACATTCACCTCTATTCAGAAAGTCTCTGCAAACGCTAGGACCGCCACCCCAGCTCCGAGGCTGGCACTCACCTCCGGCTTGGGATGCAGGTGGGTGTTTTGGAACCTGTACAGCGTGGTCACCTCACGGAAGAGCGCCAGCAGCAGGTATGTGGCCTGGTGAGTCTGGGAGCCCCTGCAGGCCTGGGGGGCAAGGATAGCATGGGAGGCTGGGCAGCGAGGTCCACGCCACCCATGGGCCCCCACCCATGCGAGGGGAAGAGACCTTCCCAAGACCCTGCAGCCTGCAGCTGAGGGCCCCCCTCAGGGCAACGCCTCCCAGTCCACGAGCTCCATCAAACAGTCACCAAACTCCCTGCGCATGGGCCAGAGGCCTCCTGACGGGAGCCCATCACCATCTGTCCCCTTTCTGATGACATCATCGTCCCCAAATCTCTCCCTGAGCCCAGGAAAGGCCTTTTCTTTTCCTGGCACGATGCCGGGGTACGTGTGGCTCACAAAGGAAGCCCAGGACACTTTAAAGACAAGATTCCAAAAACCCTGCATCGTTCTTAAAATAAGTGCCGAGGGCCACGTGCGCACATAATCAGCATCCGCAGGACTGACTCCATGCGGAGGCGAGCGCTGCTGGCTGTGTCCAGAGGAGCTATCTCGGTGGAAGTGACAACACAGACGCAGCGCCAGGGACCTGCGGGCACCGACAGCCCCAGCTGCCCTCCAGGAGAGCAGATCTGCGCACTCAGCTTGACTGTGGCTGCTGTCCTGGCTGGACCGACGTGCGGGGAGGCCAGGACCTGTGACTGCCGGCGCAGCCCTCCGGACACCCTCCCTGTATGGTCTCCCCTAACCCAGGAATGAGAGTGTTCCCAGGGGCCCCAGCAGAATTATCCTACCTCCAGGGCAGCCGCGATGGCCTGGGGCTTGCACTCCAGGACGGCCTTGCCCACTGCATCACGGACAGCCTTGTACTCCTGCCCATGCACCAGATAGCGGTCCATCTGGCCCAGAAGGTCCTCCTGCAATCCCGGGAGCACAGGGTTCTCCAAGGTGGGGGCATAGGGGGGAGGTTTAGCAGAGAACTGTGAGCGAGGTATCATTGGAGGTTCAGGGGCATGAACCTGGGGTTCCAGGTTGGCCCCAGGCAAGGCAGTGCAGGGCTGGGTGCACGGAGGGTGGTGTCAGGGGGGTGAGGAGGTGATGCCCACCCGCGGTGCTGCCTGCTCCACTCACAGCAGCACCAGAGGCCAGGGGCCCTGAGCTCCAGGTGACAGTAAAACACCCAGGGTTTCTAGTGCCATTTCATACCCAGCAACAGTAAGAACGTGTTCCTTTCTAAGCATGGGACAGTCCCATGAGCCCAGGGACTTCACTGCTCAGAGGCAACTCCATGGAGCCTCCTCCCACTTTCCCTGTCTGGCTCCTCGCGTCATGACGCCTAAACCAGCTTTGCAGGCAGGTGGCGAGCAGCCCTCGTAAGCACGTCCCTTCCCTTCTCGCTGGCTGCTGAAGGTCATGGCCAGCGAGGGGATCCCTGGAGACAGATGCAGTCCATTCCCTGGGGGTAAGGGGGGGGCAGGGTGCCTAGAGGCGTGGCTGCCACGGGGCTCCTCACCTGCTGCGCCTGGACTTCCTGGGGGAACACCCACTGGGCGGGGTGGCCGGGCTGCAGGAAGCTCTGCACAAACTCCATGCCCTGGCGGCTCACAAGCCTGCGCACCAGGTACACGCGGTACCAGTCATTCCCGCTCTGCGTGCAGAAGCGCTCCACCTGCCGCAGGAACTGCCGCTGCTCCTCCGCCAGCTCTGTGGGCCACGGAGAGTGTGGTCAGTGCAGGGCTGACAGCATCACATCCCTGTCCTAATGCGGAGCATGTGAAACAGGGCCCCAGCAGACCACCGAGCAGGAAGAAGGGCCGAGTCATCCCCCCACCCCCCACCCCTGACACACACACACACCCCCGACACACACACACATCCTGGGGTTTCTGAGCCAAGGGGAGGAAGGACAGTGGAGACTTGCCTGAGCCTTCCTGCAGCTTGGAGAGGACCTCGCAGGCCCGGTCTAGGCAGAGGCGGATCCGGGCTGTCTCCTGGAGGTACTCAATAGAGGCCTCCAGGCCAGGGTCCCTACTGCACCTGGGCAGACACGCCCCAAGGAACTGGCTGTCCTCCTGGAGGTAAGTGGAGTCACCCTGGGCAGGGAGCGCGCTGTTCTTCTCATGGATCGAATCCTAGGGGACCAGAATGAAAGGATAGTGTTCTTTTTTGTTTCCTTTATTTTAATCCTCACTTGAGGGAATTTTTTCCATCGATTTTCAGAGAGAGTGGAAGGGATGGGGGAGAGGGAAAAGGGAGCGAGAGAGAAAGAGGCGGGGGGAGAGAAACATCAATGTGAGAGAGACATTGATTGATTGCTTTCCACACACAACCTGACCGGGGCTGGGGATCAAGTCTGCAACCCATGCATGTACCCTTGACCAGAATTGAACTCGAGAACCTTCGGTCAATGGCCTGAAAATCTAACCACTGAGCAACCAGCCAGGGTGAATAGTGTTCTTTCTTTTTTTAAAAAAAATATTTTTATTGATTTCAGAGAGAAAGGGAGAGGGAGTGAGAGATAGAAACATCAATGAAGAGAGAGAATCATTGCCCTAACTGGTTTTTCTTAGTGGGTAGAGTGTCGGTCTGTGGAATGTAGGGTCCCCGGTTCAATTCCAGCCAAGGGCACATGCCCAGATTGCAGGCTCCATCCCCAGCGTGGGGCATGCAGGAGGCAGTCCATCAATGATTTCTCTCATGCTGGAAGCCAATTCCAGCATGTTCAGCAGGGCTGAATCTGGAGTGGCTGAAGGGCATTTACCCAAACCTGAAAAGGATGCATTAAATTGATTGTTTGCTGCCAGACAGCTCAGGGCATCTTAATCTACATGCTATTGCCTGCTACTGGCCAAACACCTGAACAGCCATAGGTGTTTTCCCAAATCTGACAATGGACTCTGTATCAAACCCTGACCCTTTGAAGTGTATATCTCTGCCTCGCCTGAGGACAATTTGTGTTACTAAAATGCATGGGGTCATGAGACGAGGGGATCTGACCCCCAAATGCCTTTCAAAATTATGCTTCGTCTCTGGACTCTTTATTAAGTTACACACAGCCGCTTCTCCAGATTGCTGAACCCTTCTAGATGCTGGAACAAGAACCCCAGCACTCTCATCATTGATGTTTCTACCTCTCTCTCCCTCTCCCTTCCTTTCTGAAATCAATAAAAATATATTAAGAGAGAGAGAGAGAGAGAGAGAGAGAGAGAGAGAGAGAATTATTGATTGGCTGCCTCCTGCATGTCCCCTACTGGGCAACCCAGGCATGTGTCCTGACCGGGAATCAAACCTTGACCTCCTGGTTCATAGGTCGATGCTCAATCACAGAGGCAGGCCGGCCGGGCATGAATAGTGTTCTTTAAAAAAATTTTTTAAATCTTCACCAGAGTATTTTAAAGTTTATCATATGATTGATCCTAGAGAGAGGAAGGCAGAGAGAGAGAGAGAGAGAGAGAGAGAGAGAGAGAAACATTGATCACAGTTGAATTCACAACCTTCTGGTGTATGGGATGATGCTCCACTAACTGAGCCACCAGGTCAAGGCAAGTAGTGTTCTTTTAAAAATGCAAACCCTCGCCTTAGCTGGTTTGGCTCAGTGGATAGAGCATTGAACTGTGGCCTGAAGGATCCCAGGTTTGATTCCGGTCAAGGGCACATGCCCGGGTTGTGGGCTCGATCCCCAGTTGGGCACGTGCAAGAGGCAGCCGATCAATGATTCTCTGTTATCATTGATGTTTCTATCTCTCTCATCTCTCCTTTCCTCTCTGAAATCAATAAAAAAATATTTTTAAAAAATGCAAACCCCAACCCTCCAAAATTTCCAGTGCACCTTGGAGATAAAGGAAGGATAAAGAATGTTGTAGGTTTGAGTGAAAATTGTTGGATCATGGAAAACTATTATTCCTTTTTACTTTAGAGGCAAGAAAGAGGGGACAAAGAAAACCTATGAGGAAAAATGGTGTATGACCTAAATTTTTCATATGCACTATAAAATTTTAGAAAGTAACAAAAATACAAAGGGAATGAAACTGAAAGCTATTCATAGTCCCTGAGCTAAGTCCACAGTTCCGCTGGACGATTACTGAGGGCAAAGCGACGTTTCTGAGAGCTTCTGTTTCTGCACGGAACACAATCTCACCGACTACAATCATGTTCTGAGGATTTTCAGAAGCACTTTTCCATCGCATAAGCCACGTGGTTCACAGGGTCGGAAGGAAATGCAGCGGGGGCGTGAGCTCACCTCCAGGCAGCTGCTGAAGAGCACGTAGAGCTCCGTCTTATCCTCAGCCAGGAACGGCTTCTGCTCCAGCTGGGATAGGTGGTCCTGAATGCAGTCCTTCACCTCAGGGAAGCTGTGGAGAGACCTGCTCATCTCAGGTCCGAAAATTCATTGTGCCAAAAAGAAAAAAAGTAGCTACCTACTTATCTCTCAATCTGCCCATATAGATAGTATATACAGCCCAGCTGGTGTGGCTCAGTGGTTGAGTGTTGACTTATGAACCAGGAGGTCACAGTTCGATTCCCGGTCAGGACACATGCCCGGGTTGTGGGCTCGATACCCAGTAGGGGATGTGCAGGGGCAGCCGATCAATGATTCTCTCTCATCATTGATGTTATTCTCTCTCTCCCTCTCCCTTCCTCTCTGGAATCAATAAAAAATATTTTTAACATAGTATATACATACATACATATAGTATGTAACATGATTTTATTGAAAATATTTTGGTACAATATTGGAAGAATATAAAACACCATCATTGCTGCAGTAACATCGTTGCATATCCAACGTATTGAAAAAGGCAAAATATCTTTGTATTGTTTAAGAAATAATTCTGAGCCCCCGCACTTTGAGAACCACTATAGCAGATCAGCACAAGCACCCAGTGGCACAGCCAGGGGTGGGGTGGGACTCAGCAGGGCTTGGCGACTGTGTCACACCCATCAGCCAGAGAGCTGATGTCTACATGTCCACCAGTAACCCCAGGCCTGTCCACACACAGAAATACTTGACTGCGAAAGAGAACCAGTGACAGCAGCCGGTACGTCCTGCAGACAATGCAGATTTAAGTTTGTCTTATGTCTCTAGATTTTTATCTTAAAACCAGTTCTGTAATGGTCAGTGTCTACCTGTCTCAGGACAGAGCGTATGCCCTGTCGGGGTCGATTTCTACCCCCGTGAATATGTCCACACCGCATCAAGACGCATGTACATCAGTGCCTGCATTCACACTTCTCTAAGCAAAGGGTTCGGGGAATGCGGATTTCACACGTTTATCAAAGTTAGTGAAATCACAGAACATCCAAAGAGGATCTCCTCATCTCCTTGCTTATATATCATAAAAGCATAGCAAGACGCTGGCTCTGTAATAAAATGCCTCTTAAGGGCATTTTATTTGAAAATCCTGTAGGAATCCCGTTTCACAGAAATGAGGACTAAAGACAAGGAAAACACTGGGTCCATGGACGAGGACCCAGCAGGCCTGTGTGCATGCAAACCACATCTCCGCTCTGAGTCTGCTTTTGGACACTGAACTCAGAAATGGTTGTTTCTGTCAGAACCTTCCTCACTGTGTCAATCAGAAGTCGGGCTGTGCACCCAGGGCCCGACCGCAGCCTCAGCACAGAGCGCTCCTGGAGAATTTTCTAAAACTGTGGCCTCTCTATCCATAGATAGAATCATAGGCGTTTAGGAGCCAAAACATAACTTAGAGGGACAGAGAGGGTGGGGGAGAGTCCGGTTACCTTCCTAAACATCATACACCTGTGGCCCAGGATCAGCCCGCAGGCCCCTGACTCAGGAGTCCCCGCCGAGTCCCTCTCTGAGCCCTTACACCCCCCCTGCCGCCGCCCCCCGCCCCTGCTTTCTTGCCCCCAGCAAGGCCTTGTGGCTGTGCTGACCGCCATTTGCCTTCTGCCATGGCTGAAAACCTGAGAACCTCCAACACGCATCTGACACAGACAAATAAGGCAGGCTCTGTCACTGCAGGAGCCTCCTCTGCATGGGGACTCCTCCTGAAGGAAGCACCAGCGACGAAGAGAAGCAGTTGGGCTTTCTGGCTGCCTTGCTGACCTGTACTTCAGGAGCAGTTTCAGGACCACCGAGCGGATGACGGGCGTCTTGTCCACGATGTCGTCAAACGGGGACAGGGACTTGGTGTGTTCACAGTGCCCTGAAACCAGAGAGAGACAGTGAGCCACCTGCACCTCAGACAGGTGTGTGGGATGAGGACAGGGCTGGGAGGTCTATATCAGGGGTGGGGACGTCCGGCCTCGGGCCGTATAAGGCCCTGGAAAGCATTTGGTCTGGGCCTGCCAAGGCATTAGGGGTGAGTTAATTAAATGTTTGACTAAATAAGGCAGGCTAATTTTTAAACAGATAATTCTTTAAAAATATTTTTTGGTTGATTTCAGAGAGGAAGGGAGAGGGAGAGAGAGATAGAAACATCAATAATGAGAGAGAATCATTCATTGGCTGCCTCTTGCACGCCCCACACTGGGGACAGAGCCTGCAACCCAGGCTTGTGCCCTGAGTCAGAATTGAACCATAACCTCCTGGTTCATAGGCTGACGCTCAACCCCTGAGCGGCGCTGGCCGGGCTGAGTGGATAATGTTGTATGGCCCACGAATGATGTTATAACCACCCACATGGCCTCGGCAGAAAAGCGGTTCCCACCCCTGGTCTGCGGGCAGGAAGCCACATACTCTGGGGTGCATCTCTGAGCAGTGCCTTCTCCACGAAGAGCAGGGACAGCAGTTCCTGGACCACGTCCCTGCTTGGGGGGCAGTTGTCTTTGAAGCACAGGGTGGATACCAGGTCCACGAAGAAGCTGGTGCATAAGTGGCGGAAGCGGGCGTGCTGCTCGATGGCAACCCTTGGGGACGGGAAACCACAGTCAAAGGCTGTAGGGGGGCTGGATTTCCCTCCACGCACAGAGCCTGGGATGTGGCCGGCATTTTGATTTTTTAAATACAGAGACGTAAGTTCTCCCATCGATTAGAGCCGGTCTGGAAAAGTGTGCGCTCCTCTCTCCCCAGGAACACTTTGAAGCGTCCGGACCAGCCGGCCACACTCCAATGTCCTGTGGGTGTGTCCGAGAGGCCCCAGGGGGAAGGAAGCCAAGCCTTTCCTTGGGTAGAGCAGGCAAAGCCCCTGGGCTCCTGCTGACTTCAGCGACCTGCCTGCAGGCACATGGCCATCGGAGCTTGCTCCCCCTCAGGTCCCAGTGCAGGGTGGCAGGGACACAGTGTGAGGGTAAACCACCCACATTGTGGGTGGGCCTCTTGTGCAGCTGCCTATGACCTGACTTCCTGGTTTATCTCCTCTAACGTCGCTGCCCCCACATCTACACACATGTGCCTTGGGGAGACAGTGATTCTGAGACACCAGGTGTTTATGAAGGTCCACTGTCTCTCCTGGGACAGTCCCCCCCCCTCAGGATCTCTAAGGTTAATGGACTTATATTTCTAAGATGGTAGAAAAAAGCTTTCTTGAGAGAAAATAAATACTGTTTTACCTTGTCTCCTTGGAAACCTTGGGGGAGAAGCTGTCGGGCAGCTCCGTCCGGCACAGGGGGCAGGTCATCTGCCCAGGGGTGAGACTCTGCCTGATGCAGTCCAGGCAGAACACGTGGTCGCAGGGCAGGCAGACCGGGCTGTGTGGGTCACCCAGGCAGACGGGGCATGACTGGACCCCGAACCTAGGACCCAGGGTGGTGGTCAGCGCTGGCTTGGAGGTGCCAGCAGGGAGATGCTAGGAACCCAGAAGGTCCGACTTCCCTCCCTCGGGGCCGCCGGGGAGCTCACCGGGTGAAGGTCTTGCTGGCCCGGTCCTTACACTCACGGAGAGTGGCCATCACCGCCGAGAACGGGCGGAGGGTCTTGATGTCTGAGTTCTCCTGCAGACACTGGTGGGGAAAGCAGGGATCAGGAAGAGGGTCAGCAGTGAGGAGGGCGGGTCAGCCAGTCCAGGTGCTGACACCCCCCCTGCCAGCCGGCGGGCATGTGTGGTCAGCACCGTCCTGTCCGTCTGCTGGGTGAGGTCTGGTGTGTGTCACTATCTCTGAATGCTCTTCGTGACACTGTTGCTTTTGGGAGAGAGACGACATTCTTTTTAACCTTCACCTGAGGATATTTTTTCATTGATTTGCAGACAGAGTGGAAGGGAAGGAGAAAGAGGGAGGGAGAGAAAGAAAAACATTGATGTGAGAGATACACATCCATTGGTTGCCTCCCATACATGCCCCAAGCAGGGCTGGGGATCGAACCCAAAACCGAAGTACGTGCCCTTGACCAGAATAAAACCTGAGACCCTTCAGTCTGTGGGGCCACACTCTAACCACTGAGCAAACCGGCCAGGGCATCTTTATATATATACTAGAGGCCCGGTGCACAAAAATTTGTGCACTCGGGGGGGAGAGGGGGTCCCTCAGCCCAGCCTGTGCCCTCTCGCAGTCTGGGACCCCTCGGGAGATAATGACCTGCTGGCTTAGGCCTGCTCCCGGGTGGCAGAGGGCAGGCCCAATCCCTAGGTGCAGCCCCTGGTCGGGCTCAGAGCAGGGCCGATTGGGAAGTTGGGGCGCCGCCCCCTGTCATGCGCAGAGCAGGGCGGATCGGGAGGTTGCAATGCCGCCCCTAGTCACGCTCAGGGTAGGGCCAATTGGGGGGTTGGGGCACCCCCCCTCCCCCATCACACTCGAGGCAGGGTCGATGGGGAGGTTGCGGCGCCACCCCCTGTCATGCACAGAGCAGGGCCGATCAGGGGGTTGAGGAGCTCCCCCCTGTCACAAACAGAGCAGGGCGGATAGGGAGGTTGTGGCCCCGTCTCCTGTCACACACAGAGCCGCAGGGCGATCAGGGGGCTTGGTCGCTGCCCCCTGTCACGCTGATCCCGGTGCCGGGAGGCCTCGCTGCTCTGCTGATCCCGGTGCTGGGAGGCATATTACCCTTTTACTATATAGGATAGAAGCCTGGTGCACGGGTGGGGGCCGGCTGGTTTGCCCTGAAGGGTGTCCTGGATCAGGGTGGGGGTCCCGCTTGGGTGCCTGGGTGAGGGGATGATGGCTGTTTGCATCTGGTCACACCCCCTTCAGGGTGGGGGTCCCCACTGGGGTGCCTGGCCAGTCTAGGTGAGGGGCTGAGGGCTGTTTTCAGGCTGGCAGGTGACTGAAGCTCCCAACCTGTCCTTTTTTCCTTTTTTTTAAAAAATTCTGGGCCAGCTTTAGCTCTGAGGCTCGGCTCCAGCTATGAGACCTCCGCTGCTGAAAGCAGGTTTCTGGCCTTTGTTTACCTTCTGTATTTGAAACAATGTTGCGGTCCTGCTGGCTGAAGCCCGGGGTTTTGTTTAGCTTCTATATTTGTTACAATGTTGCTTAGAGTGCAGCTGAGAGGCCGGCAAGGCAGGCCGGGAAGCTTGGCTTCCTCCGTCACTGAAGCAAGCAAGCCTCCCTGTTCATGTCAGCTGCCTGGCTGCCGGCCGCCATCTTTGTTGGGAGTTAATTTGCATGTCTCACTGATTAGCCAATGGGAAGGGTAGGGGCCGTATGGCTAATTACCATGTTTCTCTTTTACTAGATAGGATAATTTCCGAGAGAAGGAAAAGGGAAAGAAAGAGAAACATCCATGATGAGAGAGAACACTGATCAGTTGCCTCCCCTCCCCAGGGAGAACAGAAGATCCTGTGATCCCTTAAGACGTGGCTGAAACATTCTATCACTCTGTCCCCAGCTTCTGCAACCTGCGCAGGTCCCGCTCACTCCCGGTAACTGGCACCATCTGATGGGCTTACCAATTCCCTGTTTTCTGCTCTTGGGCTTTTAGAATGTTCCCATTTTTTGGCAAGTGATCAGGGGGTTGGTCTGGGGTCCCCTGGCGGCCTGGGCGGAGCTCTGCCTTCCCCTCATTCTCCGCATGGCCTGTGTGGGGAGGTCTCTACCCTTTGTACTTTAGACAACCTTGTGGCGCTGAAGTCATACCTGGGTCCCTCTCCCTCTCAGACACGCAGACCATCGCCTCACCTTGTCCAGAGAGAAGACATAATCGGTCAGCAGTGTGTGCAGCTCGGGAGAGTGGCCCTCGGTCCCCAGGAGCACGTGCTCCACGAAGAGCGCAACAGAGAAGATGCGAGTCCACTGGCCTCTGTGAGGAGTGTGGCCTGCTCAGCTCTGACAAAGGAGCCTGAGACACCACGAGGGGCACTGGACTGGGGGACAGGCCACGGATACGGGTGCAGAGGGAGGGGGCCTGGGTGCAGGCGAAGGGGGGCTGGGGTGCAGGTGGAGGGGGCCCTGGTGCACCCTGTGCTGTGAGCCCGACCTGTACCACTTCGTCTCCCCTGGACCTCGTGGGAATGTAACTCCATGCTGGGCTCAGCCTGTGCCTGGTGAGTCCCTCTGTGCCCCTGAGACCAGCACAGAACATGTACCCGCTGGGCGACTGCCCTGGCTGTGCCGCCCACCCTGTCGTCCTGCTCTCCCTATCTTGCTTGGGGTCCTTTCCGGGTGCCCTGTGGCCACAGTATTCCTGCTTGCCTTTCTGTCCCCCTTCATCCCTGCACACCCGGAATACGGTTTTCTCCTCTTCCCCGGGTCTCCAGCACCAGCATGCAGCCTGGTGTGGGGAGGGCTCCACAGATGTAAGGAGGGAAGGAGGAAGGGGCTCCTCCATGCCTGCACCTGTGTCCTTCTCCCGGACTCAGCGGGTTACTGTGGACAGGAGTGGAAGGTGGGAAGCTCACCTGACTTCTCCGATGAGGCCGCTGGCCCTGCTCCCCGGGCCCTGCACGTAGCCCTCAGAGCAGAGCAGCTGCAGGGGCACTGCCAGGCTCTTCACCGCCCGCAGCCACGCCTGGGGGCTGGGCTTCAGGAGGTCCCTGGTCAGCAGCTCTGTGCAGGCCATGGCTGCCCAGGCGTCCAGGGTCTGTGGAGGGTGAGCGGGGACTCAGCTGCTGCCCAGCCCCTGTGGTGGCGCTAGGTCTCATGCCAGAGGCCCGGAGGCCCGGCTCCCAGCCCCATCTTCACTGTCCTGGATGCAGAGGGCACTTACTGGATGTGTCTCACGTCTGAATCTCGCGATGCATGTGCCTCATGCAGGAGCCTTGCATTTGGAGCTTGACTGCCAGCCTCCCCGCCCTCCCTTCAGGAAGGCCCAGCCCTGGCCAAGCACTAACTGTCCCCAGAAGGCGCCTACCATCTCAGGTCCAGCCAAATCCTGGCTCTGGGCAGCTGCTGCCAGGCTGTCTAGAACTGGGGGGTGGATAGTCAAGATTCTGGAGAAGTTCTGGAGCCGGACCCTGAAATGTTGGTAGGCCCAGTGCACCCACGGGAGGGAGAGCTCCTGCTCAGGGCTCCCCACCCTCAGCTGTTGGACGCAGGACCACAGAGCCATCTGCAGGAACTGGGGGGGGGAGGGAGGGGGGACAGGCTTTCAGGGTGTGTTTGTAAATCACACCCAGACACACACAGTTACACACACAGAGACACACACAGTTACACACAGACACACACAAATGCACTTTATTTTATTTATTTATATTTTTATTGATGTCAGAGAGGAAGGGAGAGAGGGAGACAGAAACATCCATGATGAGAGAGAATCATGGATCGGCTGTCTCCTGCACGCCCCGACTGGGGATCGAGCCCGCAACCCGGGCCTGTGCCCTGACAAGGAATCGAACCGTGACCTCCTGGTTCATAGGTCGACACTCAACCACTGAACACATTGGCCAGGCATAATTTTCATTTTTAAAAGTTGGGGGATTTCCTTATTGATTCCTAAGAATAGTTTATTAATTAATCATATTGGTTATATGGGCTCCTCAAATATGTCCCTTTCCTTTTATATGTACAAAAGTTTAAAAGATGTTCATCTTTCCATTGTAATGGTCAGTTAAACGTTTACTTAATTTTCTTCAAGAGAAACCAAGCATTGAAAAGCAGCAGTTCCAGGGGCTGAGGGAGTGGCTAGGTGGCACCCACGGTGTGCCAAGACCACGCTCTGCCCGCAGCTCCGTGTCTGCAGCCGGGCCGTGGCCCAGCGCCCGCACTCACCTCCAGTTCTGGCCACGTGGACACCTGCATGGTCAGGAGCAGGAAGTCCCTCAGGTAGGACCGCAGCAGCTCCTGCCGCTCCTCTCCACGCAGCCGGGCGAGGAAGCGGCCCAGCGGGGTCTGTGGGAAGATCTCCACCAGCTTCCCTACCGGTTCCGGTCCTGCGGAGGGACCCACAGCTTGGGGGGTGAGGGCCAGGCCACGTTCTCCCTCCCTCCCCCGGGGCACGGCCTCTATGGGTGGGCCCGCCGCTCTGCTGACTGATACAGCAGGGAAGGGTCTACTCCACACAGGACCTTGAAGGACACTGGGCGATCTACTCTGAGGTCATTTCTAGATGCTTTAGATATTTTTAGGGCAACGACAGACACAAAGGAGGAATCAATGTTAAATTTCAGTCACAGCCTGGCGGGTTGAGTATCAACCTATGAACCAGGTCAGGGTTCGATTCCCGGTCAGGGCACTTGCCCAGGTTGCGGGCTCAGTCCCCAGTGTGGGGCAGGCGGAAGGCAGCCAATCAGTGACTCCTCTCATCATGGATGTTTCTACCTCTCTCTCCCTCTCCCTTCCTTCTGAAATCAATAAAAATATATTAAAAAATAATTTCAGTTACAAACCGCCTCACAAACCCTGAAGGGATTAGACAACCTGAGGCAGACCAAGCACATGCCTGCGAAGTCGGGACAAGTGCAGGAACCCAGGGGTGGGGCTCACCTGCTGCTCAAACCACAAAGATCCACTGTCTAGCAGGGTGGGTGGGGGTGTGGCCCCAGAAGAGAGAAATACTCTTTCCTGTTTCCAGTTTGCTCAGAAAGAGTGGCAGGGTGCTTACTTAGAAAAGTAACCTCATCTTCAAGTGTCTCGGCTTGTATTTTTTGTTTTTTTGTTAATCCTCACCTGAGGGTATTTTTTTCCATTGATTTTTAGAGAGAGTAGAAGGGATGGAGGAAGAGGGGGGAGAGAAAGAGAAACATTGATGTGAGAGAGACACATTCATTGGTTGCCTTCTAGATGCCTGACCAGGGCCAGGAATCAAGCCTACCAAGGTATGTGCCCTTGACCGGAAATTGAACCCGAGACCCTTTGGTCAGTGGGCTGAGCTCTAACCACTGAGCACTGGCCAGGGCTCGACCTGTATTTCTTAAAGGAGTACTTGTGCGTCCACTTTGAGTTTAGTTCATTATGAAGGTGACTATTGGATTTCCTGGAACGCTGAGAGCATATCCCGGTGCTGGGGGCTCAGGAGAGGCCCGGACAGCTGCCCAGATGCAGGCCCTGTGCTCTCTTTGCCGGCGACACCTCCCAAGACCCAGGCGCTCACTGTTCAGGATGGAGCGAGCTCGCTTCCTGTCCCCACCAGTCCCGCGCACCTGTGGCCTTGGAGATGTACTGTGCCTGCACCCACAGCTCCTCCACATAGTCCCGGATGCGCCAGCTGAAAGGGACGGCGCCGCAGGCCTCCTCCAGGCCGTGTGTGTGGCTCTGCACCAGGATGTGGGCCATGTCGCTCTTGGACCTTCAAGTGAGGGCCGAAAGCATGGGTGGTGAGATGTCACTGAGATGCAGGCAGGAGCCACGGTGCTCCTCTTTCCTGGAGACTGGTCTCTGGAGGCTATGGACACCCCCAAACACAGACCAGGACAGGGAGGGGTCACGCACGCAGGCTGGCCGAAGTCTTGGGGAGCTAGGACCTTGCCGTGCCCACTGCAGATGGACTATGACTGGGAGAGGGTCCGTCTCAGGACCAACAGTGTCTGCACCGGATTCCGAATCCCATGTACTCTACTTTATTAACAGTACGCCCCAGGATCGAAGCCCCTAAGATGCAAGCGAGAAGCTTCTGGGAAACCAGCTGAGCCCGAGTCGCACAGGAGCAGGCCCCACGGAGCAGCGGGGGGCCCAGAAGCGCACCGGCCGAGCTGCAGTGCCTGGCAGCTTCTTTATGCGTATGCTGGTGCTGACGACACCAGCTGTGACCTGCTGGTGAAGGAGGCACAGGCATCTCAGAAAGTCACGGCTCTCTGAGCCCTTCGGGCTGTGAGGGGTGCTGACTCCAGTGAGACTCTGAAGTCAGGCTGCCACCACGCTGGAGCTCCCCCACCACGGAAAGCAAGCCTGCGTTCACCTGGCATCCTTCGTGACGAGAGGGATGTTCAGCAGCTTAACATCACTGAAAATAAACATCCAAAGCTCTTGTGTCCAGGCTGGAGCGTCAGGCTTGGCCAGCAGCTCCAGGTTGCTGTCTCTGTCGATGACGGACACCATGCTGGCCAGGAGAGGGGTCACCACTCCCTGGATCCGCTTCCAGAGGGCGTGCCTGCAGCAGGGGGGCGAGGGGGGATCCCAGTCTGGGTGAGAGGGACCATAGTGGAAAAGCACACGGCTACCCTCGAGTTAGCATTTGTCCCTGGTGGATTTGTCCATTAGATGTGAGTATTGCCATATACCTTTGATTGTTTGTGTGTATGAACTACATTACCTTGTTATAAATATGTTTCTATACAATAGACTATAATTCATTAAAAGGTAAACCCTGGCTGCTGCGGGGAAGGCACCTGGATGGGCAGGCTGGCTGTGGGCTCTGCGGTCAGGAAAACCCAAGCAGGGTCACCAGGATTTGGACTTTAATCCCGAGGGGACAAAGGAAGGACTTTGGTCTCAAACACATGGATGGTGAGCAGCTCGCCCCCAAGGCTGAGGTCAGGGACCAGCTGGCTCCAGAGTTCTGTCTGACACCTGACATCTGACAGAGGCGAGTCAAATGCATGAGGCTTTGACCTGCCCTGACCACAGGCTGAGATGGGCCAGTTCCAACACTGCAGCGAACAGCAGAGCTGCGGGAGGTGGGCTGCCGACCCCACTGAGTGCCTGGCAATAGGGAAGCTGAGGAACATCTTGCTTTTGTTGTTATCAAATAACCTCAAGCTCAGGTCTGAGAAAGTAGTTTCTGTCCCCTCCCTGCACACATCACCTTCATTCAATAACCTGAAACAGCGTCCGCCTCCAGGCCTCCTGACTTGCTGGCAACAGTGTAAGAACAGGCATAAACACACAAACGTAGAGAGATGAGTCGGCAAACCCCCACATAACAGCCACCCAGACCATATCATATATTTTTGGAAAAAGAAAAGAGAGCAATCTGAGCCTGGCCAGTGTGGCTCAGTGGCTGAGCATCGACCTATGAACCAGGACGTCACAGTTCAATTTCCCATCAAGGCATATGCTCAGGTTGCAGGCCCAATCCCCAGTGTGGGGCATGCAGGAGGCAGCCCATCAATGATTCTCTCTCATCATTGATGTTTCTATCTCTCTTTCCCTCTCCTTTTCTCTCTAAAATCAATAAAAATATATTTCAAAAAAAGACCACTTTGAATTGCTCAGAGAAAGAAATGTAGGGCACCCTGACATTGGGGGCAGGGGGCAAGGGAGGAGATAGGATGTGAGCACACCTTCCTGTCACCCGCCAGCTGCCTGTCACCCATCTGCTTGTCACCTGCTTGCTTCCTGTCACCTGCCTGCCTGTGTCACCCATCTGCCTGCCACCGCCACTTGCATTCCTTGTGTCTTTGATCAGGTACCTGAAGGTGCCTGCCTCCTGCAGGGCGTCAGGGTTGGAGGCCTCCTGTACAACCCACTCCTTCCTGCTGAACACACAGCTCTCCTCCTGCTGCCGCAGCAGGTCATGGATGCGCACCTTGGCCACCCGTGAGAAGGAAGCTGTAACGCGGCAGAGGGGACGCCATTGGCCTCACGCCAGGACCTGTGCTGGGCCCGCAGTGCCACCCAGCCCCCTGTAGTGGAGCGGACTCCCTGCAGCCAGGCCAGGACTGGAGCAACTTGGGAGGGCCCAGCGGGAGGGCCTGCTTGTGGACAAGCCAAGCGGGGGTCCCAGGGACTCACCTTTGCACGCGTTGTCTGCGTCCTCACTGAGGAGGCCGAGCAGGATCTCCACGCGCCTCACGTTGCGCTGGCTGTGCTCGCTTGGGTCCCGCAGGAGGCCCACCGCGCTCTGGATGCAGCTGCGCAGAAGGCTGTCACAGTCCAGGGCCCGTGTCTGTGGCGACACAACTGAGCTTCCATTAGTCATTGCGTACAGGCAGGCCCAGCTGGAAATAGGTCCCCAGGGCCCACGGGGGTGGCGAGGGGGCGGGCAGGGGATGCATCCTGGCCACAGTCCCCCCTGTTCCCCTGCCCGGCTCCTCTCAGAACTCCTGCGAGGGGATCACGTGTGCTCAGGACTCATCCGGGAGACGCAGGAAGAGCCCACGTTGGACCCTGTCCTGTATTTCATCTGCATGCACAGCGTGGAGGAAAGAAGTGCTGGGCTGATCTGCCCGCCACCCTGTACTCCTCAGATTCCCAGGGTGCCCACAGCTCCCGGAGGCCCAGGATACGAGACAGCTGCACTCACGTGGCCTCTCCGGGCCTTTGGACTGTCCATCTCCATGTCCACTGTCTCCATGTCCACAGCAGCCGTGGGCCTGGGTTCATTGGTCTCCACTCCCATCGCCTCCTCTTGGCCATGTCTGGCCTCGCATCCCACCTCGGCTGCAACAGAAGCAACACCGTCCAGCCACTGACTGCTGGATGCTGGCGCTATGCCCGTGAGCTGTTTCCTGCCTCCTGACTGCAGTGGCTCCCAGGGAGAGGCCCAGGCACGCAGCTCAGCCTCAGGTCCACCCCTCAGGGGTCCTCTGCTTGGGTCCCATGCTCTGAGGCCGATGTAGGAACAGAAAGTGGCACAGGCCACAGGCACTCACCGCTGCTCCGTCCGCTCCACCAGACCCACTGTTTCTGGTGAAATACTGCCTGCTGAGGGGTGGGGGTGAGGACTCGGGGCAGGACACACAGGGGCCCTGTTCCCAAAGCTCACAGGCAGAGGTACTCCTGACACCGTTGGCCACACCTGCCCTCCCACGCCCCCAGGGCATTCCCGGGGCATACACTCAGGGTCAAATAGCTGGCTGATGGTCACATCCTGCAGCTGCATCACGTCTGAGATCATGGTCGTGGATCTCCGGAGGTCATCGATGTGCACGGACCGCCACAGCCCTGCAGAGGCAAAGCCACCCGAGTCTCCGCGTGTCCTTCATCCAGAAGCAGGGACATGCTGCTGGTGCCGGCAGCGACACACAGCTGCCGAGTGAGACTTGTGTCCTGGAGCCTAAACCCCTGGCCCAGCCTGCATCTCAGCTTCTCAACCAGAAATCCATGCCAGACGGAAATACCTGATGTGGAAAGGCGGCCCGAGCTGGTGGACCTTTTATATGTTTGGTGTTCTACCTGTGGAGCCGCGGTCAGTACAGGGCCGGCCGGGGGCACTGGCAGGGAGGCCTCCCATTGTCTATGGAATTATTAAAGTAAATCACATTTGCTGGTTCTAGAAGACCAACTTTCTCACATCATAAATACTTGGTGAGCCATTTGTCAGGAGAGGCAGGAAGGATGGAGAGAGGGAGAGAGGAAGGTTGATTTAAGATAGCATTCCTCCTCACCCCAAAACAGGCATAAAGTATCAGTGTGTTCATCACAGGTGCGTTGGAAATACCTTCTCTGCATTTCCCATTTGTTTGCCAGTCGCTCAGTGGTTAGAGCATCAGCCCAAGGACCAAAGGGTTGCTGGCTTGACTCCCAGCCCCAGGGTCTGGGTCGGTGTGGAGGCAACCAATCAATGTGTCTCTCTCATGTTGATGTTTCTCTCTCTCCCTCCCTCACTCCCTTCCACTCTCTCTAGAAATTAATTTGGAAAAAACATCCGTGGATCAGGATTAAACAAAAAGAAAATCACAAAAACAAATAACAGCAACAAAAAAGTAGATGCTGAGGAACCTAAGACACTCATGGAGAGTTTACAAGTTAATACAGAAAATTCTATGTGCTGAGCAGCAAGTCCAAAGATGGGTGTTTTTAGTAGGAATCAACAGCAACAAGTTTAATCTCATATGAAATGAATATTGTGGTAGTAACACTAATATTCCAATTTCAGACTTGTATACCCTAGGACCGAGCTAGAAATAACTCAAACGGGACTTACGTAACCACATTTACTAATTTGTTTGTCCTACCTCCGTGGAATCCCACATAGGACGTTCCACTTTCCATCCGGGACAGTTTTGTGATGAAATAGACGAAGATGCAGGCCTTATTTCCTTGTATCTTGTTGATTTCATTGATAGCAGAATACCTATTTTTTAAAACAAACAAGCAAAACCAAAACAAATTGAAGCAGCAAAAACAAAGCCAATACACAAAACCGAAGTTGCGAAGTAGCTGGAGGGTGTCCTAGGAGCTGGCAGGTTGAAGCTCAGGGTCTCCCTTCTTTCAGTTTTAAATAAACGTCGCCCTTGTGATTAACTCTCTTCCGAGAGAATGAGGGCACGTTCTCTAAGAAGGCGAATTTTCTCCCCCATCCCTGTGTCCCTCAGCTTTGGAGGGGCATTTCTTATGGATCATAAACTCTACTCTGGGATCCACGATGGCTTCCCTCATCCCACCGAAGGCAAGTCTAGCGGGACTTTGCATTTCAAGAAGCAAGTTTCCATGGACAGAAAACCAGTGGCCAAAGAGCCATGACACAAAGTAACAGGAACACAATTCTGAAGGCATCATATTTACCTGACAAACACTATTTAAAAATCCAAGAAATACAAATGAAATCATTTCCATCCTGTTCCTGCCCTTCACCTTGCAATAAATTCAAATTGTATCATTTAAAGCTAATCATGACCAAAACATGTCTGCAAACCCATGTTTCTAGGATATTCATTTTTATCCTATTAATGTTCTATTTACACTTCTTGCGTTTCTCCATTTTGGTATTGTTCTTAGCCTTTCCTCCTTTTTGCTTCTCTTTTTTCAGTTTCTTTAGTCCATGATTGGAAAAATGAAAAGGAAGAGCCGGTTTTATTTTTATTTCTATGTGTATTATGATCCTGTACTGTCTTCAGGGAAGAAATCCTTTAGGTGCTTTCCAAAAGAACAAAACGTACTTAGCCGAGGCGATGAGCTGAGCACTGTGAACACCGTCCTCAAAATCTGTCTGGATGATGAGGATCTTACGTGTGGCTGTGCTTGTCAAACAGTTTCTGAAAAAAAGAGGAATTACACAAGTTATTTCTCTATCCTAAAAAGGGATGATAAAGCCCTTCCTTTCCTCCCCCCACCCCAGAACTATGGGAACTATAAGGGCTACTATTCAACTATTCAGGCGGGATTCTCTTCTACAAAGTGAGTGGGCAACCCAGAGGGGAAAAAATAAACCCCAATAAACACTGCCTAATGAGACCCGAGGACCAGGTTTCAGAGAAGGATGCCCACCCAGAAGACAACAGTGGTGACAGGGACTCTGGAGGATTTAACAAGTGTCATTTTCTGAGTCCCGGGTCCTCACGTTCATTACCCAGCACTGCTGACAGCACCGTGGTCACTCCAGCCACACAAACGACATACGATGTGGCCAGAGCTGAGGACGGAGCCCAGAGGGAGGGCAGGCAGGGGACCTCACCGAACTTCTTTGAGGAATGAGTGCTCGGTGTCAAACTGCTGCAGTGACAGGATCATGGGTTTCAGAGCCCTGTCGTTCACTTCTGATTCCAACATCTCACAGTCGTGACTGGTGAGCAGTCTGGAGAAAGTAGTAATCTGCAAGGTCATGGAATGCAAACTATTTGCACGTCTCCTAGGGTTAGATCCTAGAAACGCGAGCATGTTCAGCCAGTACCTTTTATGAGCTAGCACGGTGCTGCTGGCACAGACAGAAAAGAATCCAAACCCAGAGTTTTTGAAAACAAGGCAGTGCTGAGGGGAACAGAACCCAGGATCAGAAGGCAGTGGAGAGAAGACACCCTGTCCTGAAGACGGAGTCTCCTTCCCAGACTCAGGCGTCTTCCTGCTTTGGTCCTTACTGGAAAGTGTAACTATCCCTTAGGACTCAACACAAATGGCATTTCCTCCCTGGCAACCTTGCTTCATACTTTCAGATGGAGTTAGCTGATGACGCCCCTTCCTTTGCATGGTTACCAGCAATTCTCCGTGCCACTGGGTCACACCGCGTAGTGCAACCAATGCTCATTATGGGAATGCTGATCTGGCAGCTGCCAAATCCCCTGTCTCTAGGCTGGCCTTCCCACTGAGCTTCTACATCCAATTGCATGACAGTCACATCCTCCTGGGTTGACAGGGGCACCAAGTGGAATTTACCTCTGTCCCC